AGCAACTCCTTTACCTTGTATAAAATCAGTAACCTTCTCAACTGCTACCAGAATACTATCTTTTGGTCTTCAGTTAAAAGTCCCTCTTAACATTTCCCTAAAATTTTCATGATTTTCCCAAATTGACAAGTCAGTAGATCATGCTTTATACTCACCATATGCAGCTAGAACAATGAATCACAGAATCATTAGGGTTGGAAAAGATCTCCAAGATGATCTAGTCCAACCATCCACCTACCACCAATATTGCCCACTAAACTATGTTCCTAAGTACTACATCTACCCTTTCTTTAAACACCTCCAGGGACAGCGATTCCACTACTTCCCTTGACAGCCTGCTCCAAAGCCTAACTGGTCTTTCCAAGAAGAAACTCTTCCTAACATCCAAACTGAACCTACCTTGAAGTAACTTGAGACCATTCCCTCTCATCCTATTGCTAGTTACCTGGGAGAAAGACTGAACTCCACCTTACCACAACCTCCTTTCAGGCTGTCATAGAGAGTGGTAAATTGTCCCTGGAGCCTCCTCTTCTCCAGACTGAACAATTCAAGTTCCCTTAACCACTGCGCATAAGACTTGTGCTCCAGACCCTTCACCAGTTTCATTGCCTTTCTGTGGGCAGGCTCCAGGGCCTCAATGTCTTCTTTGTAGTGAGGGGCCCAAAACTGAACACAGTATTCAAGATGCAGTTTCAGATACAGATTCGAATAACCAAGCTCTCAGCCTAGCATTTTTATATGGGCTTGAAAACTATATTGTTCAACAAGTACACAAACAACCAATGGAAAAGTCTGGAATGAAAAGCAATGAGAAAAAGTAGAATTTAAACAGCTGCATTAACTATTGACTTATTGGAAGGCAACAAGTTTTTCTTACAGTTCCACATAATCAGAAACGCCTCCTTAAAAGACAAACCATAAATAGAGAACTGGTAAATACTGCACTCATACTCAATTAAAAAGATAGCTATTAGAAGACAACAAAGTAATAGTGTAACGTGCAATACATTATGCTGCAAATATATGCAATAGTAAGCATCTGCAGAAAAAAAAGTTGAAAACCACATAGAATATTAAATTGTACCATTATCTTAATTGCAGTAAAGTCCTTAAAAGAAATAGAAAGATCTTTAAAGTAAACACAGACAAATAATAAAAAAACTTTTCATCTGGTATTAGCCATCATCCTTAACTTCTGCCATGAGTTCTGTCGGATGTGAGCATTATACCTCTGCAGCTGTTATCTGAGTAATAGCGGATTCATGCAGCTGAAGAAAATTTGCCTGGAGCTTTCCTTCCCTGAATTTACTTTCTATGTCCTCAGATAACCTGCATGGAAATGCAGGTGATGTTTTCCCATAGTATTATCTACCAGAGTCAATTCAGTTTGAGTTTAATGTCTTGAATCGAAAATAGTGTCTCTTTAATGTCTTTGTCCTGAATAAATGCAGCATACAGGTGCAGGACAGTGTTACTGCAGTTCTATATTCAAAAATCACTTTGGCCTGGTGAGAGCAGGGAAAACAAGTGAAAGACTGTGGGCCCAAAGTGATGATCTCTAGAAAGAGATTAAATAAACAAGCATATTTAAAAATGAGATATTTTGAATAAAATAATATAATGAAAATGAATTATTTATAAAAAATAAATAAACTGAAAAGGGGTAAAAAGGGAAAAGGGGTAAACAAAAAGAAAATAAAGACAGAGGGCGGTGATTAATGATTCTGTGTTCAGTGGAAGCTGGTAACTAGCGACGTCCCCCAGGGGTCTGTCTTGGGACTGGTGCTCTTCAACTTCTTTATCAATGACATAAATGACGGAATTGAGTGCATCCTCAGCAAGTTTGCTGATGACACCAAGGTGAGTGGTGTGGTTGACACAGTGGAAGGAAGGGATGCCATTCAGAGGAACTTCAACAGGCTTGAAACGTGGGCCTGGGTGAACCTGATGAGGTTCAACATGGCAAAGTGCAGAGTTTTGCACTTGGGCCAGAGGAATCCCAGGTATTTATAGAGACAGGAAGAAGGGGTCCTTGAGAGTGGCCCTACAGAAAAGGATGTGTGGGTCCTATAGATGAAAAACTTAACATGAGCCAGCAGTGTGCCCTCGCAGCTCAGAAAGCAAATGGTATTCTGGGCTCCATCATAAAAGGGGTCGCCAGCAGGGACAGGGAGGTGACTACATCTCTATACTCTGGTCTTGTGAGGCCCCATCTGGAGTACTGCATCCAGGTCTGCAGCCTCCAGTACAAGAAAGACAGAGAGCTGTTGAGAGGGTCCAGATGAGTGCCACAAAGGTAACTGGGTCCCGGAGCACCTCCCCTATGAAGACAGGCTGAGGGAGATGGACTTGTTCATCCTGGAGAAAAGAAGGCTGTGGGGTGACCTCACTGCAGACTTTCAGTGCCTAAAGGGAGCCTATAAACAGGATGGGAGTCAACTCTTTGAAAGGGTTGATAACTGCAGGACAAGGAGAAATGGTTTTAAGATGAGGGAGGGAAGATATAGGTTGGATGTCAGGGGGAAGTTCTTTTCTATGAAGTGGTGAGGTGCTGGAAAAGGCTGCCAAGAGAGGTTGTGGATGCCCAGTCCCTGGAGAGGTTCAAGGTCAGGTTGGATGGGGCCCTGAGCAGCCTGGTCTAATATTAAATGGGGAGGTGGTGGCCCTGTCTGTGGCAGCGGATTGGAGATTCATGATCCTTGAATTCCCTTCCAACCTGGGCCAATCTTGTGATTCTGTGACTGGCAGTGAAATTCATTGTTAAGTGACAGAGAATACCACCATCCAACTTCACTGAGGTGAAAATCCTGCCTCTACCACTACTAAGAAGTGACCACAAAGGATGTATATTTGCAAAACAGTCTTCTAAACAGGAAATATTAGAAACATTAGGAGGATGCATCATGTCCCTCTTTTGGATCTTCCTCCACATCTCATTGATAGTGTTGAAGACAGGATACAAGTCAAAGTTGAACTTAATTATTATCCACAATGTCTATTCCTATGTTCTTAAAGATAATGTAGTTAATCTTTTATTAAGTTGTTAAAAACAAGAAACTTGTTCTCTATAAAAATTAAGCAAACAATCGCTAGATCTCCCTGTTCATTGCACAGTAGTCAGACTAGATGACCTTTTAAAGGTCCTTCCAACTCAAATGACTCTAAGAAATTTTAGCCATGGATATAAGCATTTCAAATGTGCTAAAATCCTTGTCTCTGCATACAAGCAGAGAAGTCTAGAAGTCCAAATTTTTGCACTGATCAACGCAGTAATTTGAACTGACTTATTTATATAGTTAGACCACAGAGCACTTTACACAGCCCTTATTCTGTTCTGGAGGGAGTACATTTCATATTTTGATTTCTAAGTCCACATTTCAAGCAATGATCCAAACAGATAATACTGTTAAATAGTGCCTGTAAGTTGGAAACCTCAGGAAATAATGCAGGTTTTTTGGTCCAGGACAAGCAAAAATTGCTGATATAGAAAAGATGGGGTACTACAAGGATGAATTTAGATCATTATCTTAAACTGGTGAATCTACAAAGTTCACAAAATATATTTGAGTTACAACAAGAAATTGTCCCTGATGTCTTTTCTTTTTTTCCTGAGATTTTAGTAGCTTTTTTTATTATATCCATCATAAAAGTGTTTTGGAACATACTTGACAATCAAAACCAGAACTTTTAGAATTTCCAATGTTGCCACAGGGAGTTGCATCTACCATTAAGTAGATAGAGCCTGAAAACATAAAAAAATAAGGAATAGGAAATCTCAGATAGTGTTCCTCTTGGGGTAATCTTCATATAAAGCTGAACTTTAAAATACAAATCACATTTGCAATAAATATCTATGACTGTTTTTGACAGAAGTAGGGAGCCAATAGCATGCACTGTAAAGACTTGGACATTTCTCAGGGTATATCTGGAAACCATTACCCATGTTTTTCCAGCTCATCTTACAGACAGTGCACAGTGTAGTGTTTTGTTTTGTTTTTTTTTTTAGGTTTTATATAGTCTCACCAGTGTTATATCCCAGTGCTGGAGCAGTGCTTAAGGATACCCTAAAGGGGAAGGCTGCTCATTAGTGGCAGTAACAAAGTAAAGCAGCTCACATAAATTAACAATCCATTCTCTCAGTATTCCTTGACTTCAGGAAATATTAATTTTGTTTTATTCATCAGACAGAAGAGATATAAAATGACTTGCTATGGCCATTCAAGGAGTAGGCCAAGGAACAAAATCCATCTCCTAAATTCTTTCTTGGGAGTTTAAATTTCAGCAGCTTTGGTGATAGATGTGGAAGGAGGTCTGTTCTATCAGAGAGAGCTGCTTCTTTGCCTTTCACATCCAAGCAATTATTGTGAATGAACAGGATCAGTGCTTTTAAAAGCAGTGCTTACCTTGGAGACAGAGTAATCCATCCCCATCAGAACACTATAATTTTGGCAGCATTTTTTCCTAAGTCTTATTCCTATATGCAATAAGTGAGGATGATGTTAATAATGGTATCAATGTTCATATCATAACACAAGGGAACAAGATAAGTATGGTGCCTAAACAGTAGCTCTCACAGTAGGGATTCCCATTAGCTAAAAAACATTAGAGCCATCCCTGTGTACTTCTTGTTTACCTTAACACAGTGTATTTGTACCTACTCTCAATTTTTTTTACAATAACTATCTTTTACAAGTAAATATTGATAAATAAATCCCACTGAATTGAACAGGATATTGTCTAAACATACATGGCAGAACATAGGCCTTATAGATTCACAAGTATTAACTTATTACTTCAAAAGTCACATTATAAAAATAATTTTATCAACATTTTTTTCATTTTTATCAACATTTCAAAATGCCGCTTAAAAACATGCTGAATTTTAACACATTAGTAAAATATCCATTCTGTTTCTATTGTGAAGGAGAGACAGAAATGAAGACACCACTGCCACATATTCTTTCAGGACTTAGACAGTTTTATCTTTACCAAGAACATACCTGTTGGAGGCAGTGTTGTGGATTCTGCTGGTAAAAACACCTGGGATGGTAAACACTCCTGAGATAATGTGATGTCATCAAGTGCTATGCCACCTTTGAGATCTGTTCCAATTATCCCTTCAAATATGACTTGGAAATCTTCTTTTCCATCTCCAACCAAGTCCAGTGCCTTGCTCTGCCAGAAATTTCCCTGGTTTCCAGTAAGAATAAGGAGGATTTTTTCATATTTTGACATAGTCATCTGGTAGACGATCAATGATCCAACTTGAGCTCCATACATATGGTAATAGAAAAATATCTGTAAGTAAGAGCAGTAGACTCTAGTATGCAGTAGGTGAGTTCAGAGATATTCTGCTATTGTATTTATCCTAATTTTTAAATGGAGTCATGTTAGCAGCACTTTGATTTAATTTTTCAAACAGAATTTAATATATGCACACAAAAATGACTTTTTGAACTATTCCATAAACCAAACTTGGAAGCCAGCATTACAATACTGTGACAGTTAAGACCGCATCTCTTTTAAAAAACTTGCATGTGAATGTAAAGGAAAGAGAATACTTGGTATAAAAAAAGAAAAAAAGAAAGAAGAAGAAGAAGAAAGAAAAGCATAGAAGACAGGAGTATTTTTTAAAACAGGAAGAAGAAACTTCTTCTGAGCAGTTTTCTATTGTTAAAAGTCTCTGTGATAGACTATAACTTATAACTAGAATATTATATAATCTACTATGGAAGAAAAAAGGGCGGCAGAAATACAAAATACTAGCGAAAATAAAAATAAGGGGTCATTGGATGAGAAAACAGTAAGATTTGAGTAAAAATGGGAAAAGAAATTACAAAATTCTAAGGTAAGAAAGAAATATAACATGAAAAATAAAACCACTGAAAAAATAAGCACCAATAACTATTCTCTGTTATTTTCAATTCAAGAGCAAAGAATTGCTTGTATTGCATTGGATTAAAACTTAATCTAATTCAATATTGCTTCTGACAAATATAGAATATTTGCAAGAATTATATATGACCATAAAAGAAGACAATTCATGTTATATTATGGAAGAACTTACCTACAAACTTCTTCCTAGTCTAATGCATAACACAAGCCAGAAAGAGTGAAAAATCTATCCTTACAAAAAATACTAGCAAATATTCTGATACCTCCGTAAATATTGTCGGATTATTTTGCCTTTATGTGTGACGAGCAAAATAATTAGCAAAATAGTAGCATGAATGTTGCTTTTAACCACAGTAGTTTCAAAATTCATTGCCCTAGATTCTAGTGTGACACAACACATGGATCACTGTTTCCATTTACTTTCAACTATAATAATTGACAGAAAGGAGTAAAACAGATTAAAACAAAGAAAGAAAACCAATTCAAAGCATGTACAAAATTGTGCTTTCTGCAAAATTCACTATATTTTCAACATATGGCATCTTCTAAGAGATGCGTTTTGCTAGCTGTCTTATGAAACAGAGAGATAATTTTAGCAAAGACTATAAACTAGAAAAACTTTTAATCCTGGTTTGCTAAGAAATTATCAAGCTCAAATCACAACAACATGCTGTAGTGCTTTGTAAAATAAAAGCTTTTTTTCTTTTTCTTTTTTTCTAAACAAGAAAACATCTGTCAGACAATATATTTTTTGTAGCTATATTTATTTTTGTAAGCAAGTTGTTACTGTATTTATACATATTTTCCTAATGAAAGCACAATCCTTTACGTAGTTGTAGGATACACAGGGCTGGTGCTGCATAATGCATATTATAAATTACATATTTCTTTCATTGTTTACTTTATTTAAGTCTCCTGCAGACTACTTACCTACAAAAATCATTCTTCTCCCAAAACTAGCAAAAAGATTCACATGTTCCTATGATTTCAAAGTGGAAATAAGATCAGGTTCTGATTCTTTCACAACATACTTGTTTTTAATCAGAAGTATCTCAGTAATTCTGTTTACCTTAGGAGTACTATATATATGTAACCTAGAAATCAAATTCTGCGCTCCTGCCAGTATTACATCCCCGCATACCTTGCATTTTTTATTCATCCTGCTTAACACAGGGCTAGAAATCCTAGCTTTGTGTCCTGGCAGCTGAAGTAAAGAATTCTTTATAAAAATGTAGTAGCCAGACACTTCTTGCAGTGTATGATCAGCAGCTGGTCCAGTACCCAGTTTAGTAGTACTGCTAGTTCTGAGGTGCCAGTCAAAATCATCATTTTCTTCTTGCTTCCAATCACAAAAATCAAACTCAAAATGACAGCGCCCAATAGTAGCACCTGAAAGATATTTGCAAACACATGAACTTTTTTTTCAGAAAGTTAATACACTGCTATCTTATACACAATTATCTGCCAAGAAAAAAAAAAATCAATAGAAAGAAAGGAAAAAGCATTCATGAATCTTACTAAGCAGAGCATTTTTTAGTGTTCTAGGATTTAATTATGGTATAGGATAAAACAGAATATATGTGAAATAAATGACCATGCTCTTACTAGTATAATCAACAGTGTTATAGGTATAACAACAACTAAATACAGCAATCTAAGTCTAGAGGTTCACACGCAGGGATCAATTGGATACTCCATAGAAAATCCAAGACATCTGCAGAAAACTATCCTTTTTTTGGAGGAACACTTAAAAAAAGAAAAAAGATATGAAATTCCTACATTTGCAGAAAAGAATCTCATCCAATTAAAAGAACAGAGCACTATAAAGACACATCCTCCATAGAGGTAAAATGTAATTGTAGGAATGTTAGTTTTGAGCTGAAACAAACCTCTAACTAGTTTATCATGTTTTCAGAATAATTCAAACATTTTATTGGCCAATATGCAGATTATCTTCATTTCTCCTTTAATTGTATTTAGTCTATGAAAAAAAGTCATAATTTTGATTGATTTTTATATGATACATGCAGGCTCTTTACTAGCTTTCCAGTTTTTAATCTCAAAACAGACAGTATGGTCAGTCAGTTGCCCACACAAATCAAGGTTAAGTCAATACACTACTCCGAAAGTCTTATCTGCCTATAAGTTTTCCTCTATATCTATAACTTTATTATAATGGTTACACCAATCAAACCTAAACTTGCTGAAATAAGCTGGGATTTTGCCAGAACTTTCAAAAGACTTTGACTGTGCCCTGAATATTATTACTATTATTTCTGGAAAGGAAAGAGCTTTGAAGATAAATTGAGGAACTGAATGGATCATCTGATCTGACAGTGTAAGGAATGACAAAAGGTTTCTCCTAAAATGTAAACAAAACCTGAACTTCTTCTAAAGTTCAGCCACATTAAAGTAGCTTTTTTTTTTTTTTTTTTTTTTAAACTGGAATCTTGTCAGAAGTCTCAGTAATGAAGCTGATGAGTTAACATTCATTAAGTCTATGCATGTATCTAAACAGCTCTCTTAAAGCTGAATTCAGGTGGAAGATTTTCTTTGTAGAGGCCATGTGCATGAATGAGGACTCAAACATTTTCTTAGAACTATGAACTATTAAGCAAAAAAGTAACTTTTTATATTGTTTTATAATATCACTACTTTTCATCATCTTTTTCTACAAGTAAAACTCATTCTTAAATGGTAGTGCTAATGAAAAAAACCCTTATGTGCTAAATACAATTACAATTTATGAAGAAATTGGTCATCATTTAAATGGAACTGCCCTTGTCTTTGGCCATATGACCATATTGCTATGTAATATTTCAGGGTCTTAGCTAAAGAAATTCCTTTAATTAGTTGCATAAGTTATGACTCTCTGTGCACATAACAAACATCTGCAGTAGTGATCCATGGAGGCTACTACTAAAATTTACATACTTTGGATAAGTCTAGAAGGCACATAGTTGGTCATGTTTTGTAAACGCAATTTACAGTCATAGCTATATACTGTTTCCTCCACATTCACTTGCTATTCTTTGCCCAATTGATGACTTTACCAGTCTTCTTAGTTTGAAGTTTTCAAGCTGTTGTTCAACAATAACAGCTCTTCTTTGATGTTTGCAAGGAATGAAAAAACATCACAAAGATCAGAAATCTGTGCTTCCTGTCATTATATTCTCTTCAGAGGCAGTCTCTATCGTGAAATAAACTGTGAAGAAATAACTAGTTTGTTTTTTTTTTTTTTAGTGGAAATACAAAATACAAAAAATAACCAATAAATAAATAACTGAAATTGGAGAAAGTAAAAACTTAAGGTCTAATTACTATCATTGTTACTGAAAATTCTAACAAATAGCTTAGAGATAAGACATCCCTGTTCTGGAAATCAATGAGAAGTCTATTAGTATGAAAAGCATCTAAAAATACAGCCCCTTTGCCATCTCCCTTCACTTTACAGTATATCACTGTTACTTTGTTCATATAATTGTATTCCCTGAGAAACTGATAAATTGTAAACATAACCTCAATAAGAATGAGGCAACTTCTAATAGCATAGCAAACAATGAAGATTTGTTTTTTTGAGCATTTTACAAAATCTTAGAGGAAAAAAAAAAGCATTAGTACTATATAAACAGCATATTTTTACCCATTTCTCTAGAGAAAAAAAAAAAATTGCTATTAAACACTATCTTTCTTCCCATTACTACAAATGCTGTTTCTTGATATCTCTTGTAAAACTAAAATTTTAAAACATTGAACATGAAATAATGAAATAACTAAGAGACCTCGCAATTCTCGAAATATCAAAGGAACCAGGTCCCCATTTCCCAAAGGTATTATGTTTGATATTTTTTTTCCACTCTTAGTGCATTCTTTTCATATGGAAAGCAGATTTTTATTGCACATTAAAGACCACTGCTTTCTGAATTATATTGAGAAATTCACTAATAGAATTTTTATTTTTCATCATATTATTTCAAACTAAACAATAGTAGTTTAAAATCCTTAAAAACCAAGGAATATAATTAAATTATTGCATATGTGTTTGCTGTTTTAAGTGATAGGCTGCCAGTGGTACTGAAGCATTCAAAATTCCCAACAGGCACATTTGTGATAACTATATATTAAAAAATAAATAAAAAATAAAAAATAATTTTTAAAAAGCCTATCATACTTACTGCAAATGGCAGGATTCTCATCTGAGTTATCTGCACAGTCATTTACAAAATCACACAGTTGATCCTTCGGAATACAGTACTTGTTGGCACATGTGAATTCCTCTAATGTGCAAGGTCTGCCTGAGATGAGCAAAGGGGAACAATCTTCAAAGGAGATATCATCCACTGCCACGTCTCCCATGTAACTGACACCACGTTTTGCCCTGAAAATAACCTAATAAAAATTACAAAAATATTAGAATAAAACACCAATTAGATATACTTGAAACATAAATAGAACAGACAACAATGGTAAACTAAGCCTGAAAAATATTAGTCTGTCACTAGTAATTCCCATGAATGTTAAATCTGAAATTCAATTAAAGGGCATCCAAGACAGAAGTAGTGGGCAATGTAACATTTTTAAATGTAGCATAGAATCATAGAATCATTTGAGTTGGAAAGGACCTTTAAAGGTCATCTAGTCTAGGATAGGTAGAATATGTTTATGTGGCAAAAAGGGAAACAATAGGGAAATGCAGAAGATAAAAGTATCTAAAGCCAGTTTTCTGGAGAGCATGTGAAATACAAATACACACCTGAAAATCTGAACGAATTCCCAAGAACACTTCGGCTCTATTCCATTTTGGACCTTGACTGCCACTTTGAGTCCATAACGTAGAAGTCTTATTACCAGTTTTACAGAGTAGCTAAAAGGAAATTCAGGTCACAAAAAAGTTTTTCCATTACAAACTCACTCCATGTTTCTCAACTTTGTCCAAAGTATCTTCTATAATTTAATTATATACCACCATTAAATATCAGGTGCAAAGGGATTGGTTGATATAAACCACAGTTTGATTAAAATGATGCTTTAAAACTTTCTCATCTACTCACAAACACTTTCTGCTCAGGTATTTAACTGGACTAAGTTACCATTTAACTTAGCTGGAATGTCTAGTCACAAATAAAAAATGTTCAGCAAAAGGTCAAGATTCATTTGTAAAACATGAAAAACAAAATTAATTAACAAGTTACTGAAAAATGTAATAGTTTGTGCATCCATTAGACTGCTTTCAATTGCTCCATCTAAGTTCCAAGAAAAATGTTATGCCTTGATTCTGTATCAAACTTTTTTTCTCTTCTACAGAAAAACAAAGAAACAAAAAAACTTATTCTTTCCTTCTAACATCCGCAGTTTATCTTTATGAACAACAGAAGACTATTGTAAAAACCTGTTGAACTAGAGAAAGCTAATACTTCAACATTAGCACAAAATCCTCAGTATTCTTTGCTACAACGTCTTGAACATCCAGATTCAACTGAGCTAAAAATAACAGCAAGATGGGAGTGTGATGAAGTACGTTAAGTCTTGTTTCCAGGCAACATTCACAGAGATAGACATCAGTTCACCAGTTGCCTGCACCAGTTCTGCTTTCAAGGATTTATTGCTACTCTGCATAATCTTCTTAGGGCAGCCCCAACATTCTTTATCTTAATGAAAAAAAGGACTTTGAAAATTTTCGCAGTCCCAAGAGTTTGTATCATATTCCATAACAGGTAAGCTTTGGCAAGCAAATAGCAGATCCTGGAAGCTGAAGAGCTTCCAGTCCAGAGGAAAAAAGAAACAGGTGTAATATTTTGAATAGAATAGAAAAACAAAGTGACATCTGGCTTTATAGACAAGAAAAACTGCTACAAAAAAGATGAATTTTAAGGAAAAAAAGATAAAAATAGAGAAAAACGGGTTTCATGTATTATTTAAGATGATTATGGAGTGCTGAATAATAGATTTTTCTTACTCTTATGCAGATACTGTATAGGTATATCTATATAGACACATGAGATTATATAGAGAGCAATACATACAATTTCACACAGACTTTAAATTATTTACAAAATTATAAATCCAATTCCTTTATCAGAAGTTCATGTGTTCTCTGATATCATGCTGAATGTTGTAATTCTATGGTGAAACATGGCCATAAATTTAAGTCCCATCAAAATTTAGGCCTTCTCTTAAACCCTAATCTAACCGAAAGACCTGTGCATTTAAATTACTTAGCAAGTTACTGAAAACTGACTGCTAATTCTTTGTTAAAGTTATCCATGCCAAGTCAGAGAGCAGAAAGTGAAGTAAAATAGTTCCAGCTAATATTCAAGTGTAGGTTGCACAATAATGCAACAACTTATAGGTGTTTAACTTATAGAACCACGAAAAGACATTCATGCATTTGAATAGCAGGAGTCTTCAATATATCCTAGGCAACATTTCATGCCACGGATGTAAACTAACATGCAAAAATCCAAACTTATGAATTAAATAAAAAGCGGTAGGCATGGGAGAGAAGACTAATAAAAGTAGTAACAAATCTGCAGTGTTCAACCACAGAAGATTCACATTCATGTAAGACTTACAAAACTTAAAAGAAAATAAATTATCTAAATAATTTTATATTCCACATTATTTCTACACTTATAGTTAATTGAATAATTAAGCAATTGTAGTAAGACAACAATTAATGTTTAAAATACAGTGAGTTTGTGATTTGGCTTTGGTATATCTTAAAAATTGATTAAGCTGTAGATGGAAAAAAATCAATTAAATAATAGAGTGAAATTGTGGTCTCCTACTAGAAACTATAGAATCACAGAACAAAAAGAGTTGGAAAATACCATTAAGATCATTCAGTGTGACCATCAGCCCATCCTCATCATGCCCGCAGACCCACATCCCCCAGCGCAACATCTCCATGTTTCTTGAACAACTCCAGGGACTGTGACTCCACCACCTCCCCGGCAGCCTGTGACAGTTCCCTGCCACTCTTTCTGAAAAGAAATTTTTCCTAATACTCAACTTGAATCTCCCTGGCACAACTTACGGTCATTATCTACATTGTTACCTGGCTGTGGAACTGAGAAAAAAAAAACATTTTTCTTTCACGGTGCCACCTTGCTACTGTGATTAACTAAGCTGTTTATTTGTGTAAAACTATCTGTGGACATGCTTCTAAGTAGCGTGGCTTCCCACACTCTAAAGAAAATCTGGGACCTTACAGCAAATGCAAAGAGGCCACAATTCACTGATCTGTTCCAAATCTTTAAGCTAAGGGTGAGCCATCTTTATGCCCTTTTCTCCAACTAATTCTGATAAACTAAAATCTGAGCACTTGTTGATGTCCTAGCAAGATCTCTATTTTCTCATGGGAGAAAAAAATAAATTAATTGTTTAATAGTAGGTTAAGAATATATAAGGTGTGCTTCCTCTGAGCAACTAGCTAATCATATACACAGGCTGGAGAACACCATATCTTAGTTTTTTAATATCACACATTTTAGTTTAATTGGCCACATTATTTTGAGTATTTCAAAAATCCATCTCTGATGCTGTAAATTACTGTATAACACTCATGGGAACTTGCATGATTGTTACTCTGATGCGTGGAGAACAATATTCTTGCTTTATTCAGTCACTTTGCAGTGACATTTTTTATCTATAAGCTGCTGAACAAAACAGATATCCTATCAATAAATATTTTGATTTTAACTGGAGTGAAGAAAAGGGTATGAATAAAAAAGTTTGTTATTGTTCAGTCATAGAAATAGAAGTATGATTAATCTTTGAGAAATAAATGTTACACTTTCAAATGAATAACATAGCAATAAGAAGTTTCTAAAAAATGTCAAAATGAATTTTCATACAATTACTTTTTTTTTCAAACTCCTACATTCATCCAAAAACCTAAATTTCCAAATATCTATTGCTGTTTTTCAGTGTCAAGAGTTATTATGCATTTCAAGGCTTTTTTCTTGTACCGAAATTCCAGACTTGGCACATGCTTAAAGATCATCATTTTAGTTTGTTGTAAAATGTTTTTCACAGCATACTCAAGCTAATGCTTCCCTCCAATCAAAACATATTGAGAGCAGTAAAGCATTAGCAATTGCTCATTTTCATTAACTGACAGCCTGGACTCTAATGAAACTAAATGACAAGGCATTAATTTCCTCCCATAAATTTCAGACAGTAAGAATGAAGGAAAACAAATACACCTCCATACCTCCAGAGAGCCTATTGTTGAACCATTCATGTGGTTCCAAAATGTAATTTTGCATTGGGGTCCTGTAAAGGAAATGACTGGTGTAACAATATCAGCAGTGCGACCATATTCTCCATTTGAGCTGTCAGCAAACAGATACATGCCTTCTTCAGTATTCCTGTCCAGAGAGAAAAGGTTTTCTTTATTAAAAAAAAAGAAAAAATAAAATAAAATAAAGTTGCAGTTGCATTAAAGTGGTAATATTTCCTTTACATGTATTACATTTACTATCTGGGTACCTGGATGCCTTTTAATTCATCAATGCATTGCCAGAATGGCACAGAATCCCTTGAAAAGGCATTTGGTACTTTTGTATCATATCTGAACAAAGAAAATCACAGAGCTAAGTCTTCCTTTACACAGGGTCAGATATCTGAGCCTGGAGGGACTTTTAGTCCCTTACATCAGCAAAATCAGTGACCTACTCAAAGCCGGTGTACATATGGACATCCTCCTGGCTTGGAGGTAAAATATTTCAAGACACTGGATGAAATTCTCTATGCTGAGAAAGATGACACTGCCTTTGTGGTGTGGATCAGACTTTGAGTGTATACAGAGAGACAGTTTTAGGGTTTCAGGTTGCTGAGATTAAGTTCCTAAAAAAGTTGCCTTTCAAAGACAATGTAGCTGTTGACCAAATAAAAGATTCTGTTCTCTTTTACAGAGTTGCACAGAGATACTGCACAATCAGTGCTTCATTAAGCCATGAATGTTTCCAACAGGACCTTACAAACTTGATGATGGAACCTACGTTTTAAAAATTTCCTTACCTGAAATATCTTCATTAGAGTTTCTTGTATTTTCTGTTTGCCTGTTGGTGTATTTTTTTTTTCAATCTAGTAAAGTGTCTGAGAAATCTTGTTGCCAAATCTTTAAAAATCTTAAATATACATATTTTTTAATTTCTTCATTGCTTATCTGAAAATGACTCCTCTCATATTGCAATGCCTACACTGAACTCATGACCGATTATTTGAATGATTAAAAAAACCCCGAAGTTAGTGTATACAGGTTTATTACTGTAAACTTACAAAAATGGCAGATTAAATGTATTATGATAATTTGCATGTAGAAATAATTTTAAGAGTCAACTTATATTAATTATAGCCCATCACACAACATGGAGACTGATGAATTCTATCATTCAGTCACTTTAGGAGTAGAACATTCTAAACATATGACATAGAATAAAATAGGGTAGAAACAAGCAAAATTATATTTACACAGCAATTTTCTCTAAGGATTTGAAATCCTTTAATAAATTCATTAATCCTTAGAATCACAGGTGGAAGAACTTTTGACAGATTGACAGACTGCAAACAGCCTAATCTTCCTGGATATCTGAGGGTAAAATTTCACCAGTATCTCCTTATCTTTTCTATAACCTTTGGCTGATCTTAAGCATGTATTTAAATGAAAATCTTTTTCCATCTCTTCCTCTTTCTCGACAATTGGATGTAAAAATTTTGCTTCATAGGAAAATTAAAATCTAGTAATAGCAATTGATTAAAAAAAAAAAAACAACAAACAAATAACAAAAAAAAACCAACTTTTGTCAAATAATTGCAAAACAACATCTAGGTCATTGTTACACAGAATACTGCTTCCATCTTCCCTGGTCTCGTATTTGAAAAATTAACAGTAGATCTGCTATAATCTTGGAAAACTAGAAAAAATATACTGAGAGGTGAAAATATTAGACAATTTTGATAGCAAAAGTAGTTTTGGTACAGAAATCCCAGGTTATTTCCTTCAGCAAGGTAACGTAATTATTAGAACTTCCATTGGTCAGAATAATGGGAGCACTTTTAATTACCTGCAATACAAACTTTTACTCATTATGCACTTCCTGGAGGCTTCCCAAAACCTTATCTAACATGTAAGACTGAGAGAATCATTCTCTTTGCAGTTATTAGGAAGGATGTGTGTAAAATAGTTTCAAAGGTAAAAAGGAATAGAAGTGGATTATTGCCATAACATGTCTATAGCATGGAAAGACGACTCACAGCTGTAAACTGCTGATATAATTGCTGTACTTAAATAGAGAGGGGAGTACTACTAAAATATCTCATAAAATGAAGGAATTTATGCAGGGAAAGATTACATTGTCTTGCAGACAGTTTCTTACATGTTAACACCAGATAAAATAAAGCACATTTTTAAAAATAGAAATGAAATACACGCAAGAAGTCATGATCAACAGTTTTACTACCACTTATAGAATAGAATAAACTACTCTGCAGGATTGTAATGTCATTTCTTATAAAAGAAATGCCCAAAATTTTTGAGCAAAAAATAACAAATCTTTTTCTAAGCCATGTAGAAGAGGATACTTTGAAGGAGTAAAAAATTTATAAATACTTCTTGAAGTGTGAGGCAAAACTGCACTTTGCAAAGATCAAACATTTTAATGGGCTGGGAATCATTGATAAAGACAAGAGCTGCCAGGGAGAAGAGTAATGATCTGGAATTCTGAATCCTCTCCACAATTTTATTTTTGTTTTCAGAAGCAAAAGACAGAAGTGGCCCTGAAGCTTTTCTTTTATTGCTGTATCATGGCAATGTAGACATCTTTATAATTACTGCATGAATTTACATAAGTAGCATAAGTATTTGCATATGAACTACTGCAAAAAATATGCTCAAAATATAGAAAAACATATACTTACCAAATTACCCGAAGGCTTGTATGACTCCAAAATAAAACAATTAAAATAGCTTTTCCTAACAAGCTGCAGTGACAGCTGAAAACTTTGACACATATACAGTTACAAATATTTCCAAATAATCTGCATTTGGTATTTTTTTTTTCTTTCTTTCTCTTCTTTCCTCTGAAGAAATCTATTCCTTCCAGGTAGGAATACTGAATTTCTTTTATTTTTATCTCATTTCTGATTTTTCTACCAGTCTTGTCTGGCAGTACAAGAATACTGAATTCTCTTCAGGTCTACAAAAATATTTTAAAATTCAGAATTTAATTGTCATCCGGGAATTCATGTCCTCAGTAGCCCAAGAATGCCCAAATTTCCCCAAAAAAGAACAAAATTTAAAACCAATATGAGAAGCAAAATCAGGGATTCCTGCACTGTGGCCTAAGAATGTTGTACAGTACTGAGAACAACATTCAAGGGGGCTGAGTTGAAAATAGAATGAAAAAGAAATCTGAAAACATACTCAATATTCTGGCTGTAAAAGCTGTTGCAAGTTCAGAACAGTCAGTGAGATCTGTTTGAATGAGCAACAGATTACAATCAACAGTATGATGAAAATTCAGACATCCATCTCTTACTTGCTGTCTTTGGATCTTTTTCCTGAAATTTGACCAAAATCACATCTCTATCTGGATAATTAAAGAACCTTGGGTGATACACTTCACTGGGTGATGCCTGTTGAGCAAAGGAGTGTGCGCAGTTGAAAAAAATGTTAAGGATGTATGGGAAAGTAAAGAGAAAGAGAAAGATCAGAAGAGGCTGGATGAATATGTTTCTGCTGTCTTCACTCCTCTGACTTACCTATGCTGTTATTTAAGTTCACACTTTCCTCATACTTCTAGTAATAGCTACTTGGTGCATTGCCCATCATGCACATTGTTTCTGCCAGAAGGCAGCACTTGATGTGGAAAAGAGAGAGTTTGAGGCCAGTGGCCAAGGTTTTATTCAAGATGTATAATGCTTGTGAATCTGAAGGAAATTTGGAAGATCATGCTTCTATAGTAGAGATGAAGAGAAAGGAGAATGAGAGAACATCACATTGTTTCTGTAGTATCTGTATTTGCTATGCATTCACTATCTGCACCAGAAATAGTTTGATTACTTATCTTTCAGTAGATTATATAGGATAGCCTATTACAAATCATAACATACAAACAGAACTTTTACAGCCTCTGTCTTAAAGTGACTTACATGTAACATATTCATTGGTTTCAAAAGGGCCCTTTCCTGAGCGAAGGATTGCAGCTGTGAAAATACTATTGCAGAAAAAGAATCAATATCACAACAGCTTAGGTTGGAAAGGAGCCTTCAGATCATCTAGTTGAAACCCTCTCCCTCGATAGGCAGGGACATCACCCACTAGACTGAACAAGTAAAATGGGTAAGTTCCATAAATCTTACAGGATAATGAGAACTCCAATAACTTAATCAATTCCACTGCATAGAAGAGGAAGATTTTCTGCATGAAACACTTCCAACCACTTAAATTCTAATAGGCTTTAAATAGACAATAACTCAAATCAATACTGAACAACTAGAAAGAATATATATATTTCAGGATTTTCAATGAAATTTAAAAATTTCTGTAAACTTTTCTTATAATAAAACTGAAAGGAATCAGAAGTCAGGAATGCAAATCCTTACTAATAGAATTTTGTGATAAATTTAATTTCAAATACTGGTAATTTCCAAAAGAAATAACATTTTGCTGTAATTTTAAAAATACTTTCTATCTAGTCACCTCCCATTTCATTAGCATTTAGCATTCATAAGTAATTAACTTAGAACAAAAAGTAGTACTGCCATGCCAACTGCCACGTCATAATGTAGACATACTCTTGGAAAATAATGTTTCAAGAGCTTCTGTTACAAAAGATATCTTTTAGCTATGTTTACAGAAAGTTGCCTATACATTTCTGACTTCCACAAATCTACTTCTTCTGAGTCATTTTGGATTAGTTTAATATTTCTTTTTTTTTTTTTTTTTTTTCCTTATGCCTTGCATGTGAAATTACTATAAACGGATCAAGCTCTTCTACTTTATTAATATTACAAGAGTCTCCTGCATCTCAAATATCTTATTTTCTCCTTGGACCAATGTTCATTTAGATATTTGCATCTGCAGATCCTCAGTCTTTCTTTAAACCTAGTTACCAAACTAGATTTCTGCACTAATAGGGACATAAAATCAGTGTTCTTTAAAAGTCATATAACTATGGTACATGAATTTACCGGTTTACCTCTCTACTATACTTTTCATTATTTGCTTATTATACTGTATGGCAGAGCTCTGGTACAGAAAATTTTGCAGGTGTTACTGTGAAAGCCTTATTGATCAGGAATTTCTTTGTCTCCCATGGGAAGAGTCTTTGTATCCCATGATTTTCTAATCAAAATCTCAAAGTCA